CAGGTTGCTAGACGTTCATACAATTTGAGGTCTAATGAGCGTACCCCTTGCCTCCAGTAGACGGCAACTCGAGCTGATCAACCACCTCCCCCATACTCATGCGGGTACCACAACCTGAGCGTAGCGCCACCGAATCATTCCACAAAGACAGTTCGGTTACGTACTGCTGCGATTGGTGGCTATTGAAGCGCGGGTTCTGGTTGATGTTCGGCCTCGTGGTAAAGACCCTCGACGCGAGCCGACAGTGAAGACCTGAGCTGTGTACCCATTCATCGTGTTAGGCAGCTGGCGAAGCTTTGCTTGCACACCGAGGAGCCCTCACTTGGAACTCTTCCTTGAAAGATTCTCCCGGCCGCTTCGGTGTCCCAGAGTTATGGCGCTTCGCCGACGGCCGCGAGCTCTTAGGTGTGGTAGGAGGTCGACCGGGACTCTCTATCTCGATGAACTCCCTATGTGAAAGAAGTCCGAACACTCACCATCTGCAGGGCATCCGAAAAGATTATTCCTCGGCGTAGCACAGAGAGGGTCTGAGTCAGGAGAGGTCGATTGCCGTTTTCGCTTCTGGCTAGTGGACCGACCTAGCGAACCGTCCGTCCCTAGCTGCATAGCTCCCCCAGACGACTTACCTCGAGTGACGGACGGGCTAGAGTCATGTTCATTACGCTTCACTTGACGTGAGGACCTTATTGAACGGCAGCCATCCTTTAACGTAAAGGACATCGTCGACAAGAGGGAGCAACGATACAAACACGAGTTGTACAAGCAAAGACCCACGTGCTAGAGCACCAAACGGCCCAGGACAAGCACGAGGACCAAGCCGAGCGAATTGACCAACACGAAGCTGATGTCCCAGGAACTAGGACGTGGCAATCAGCATGTCTAACTGTCCTCTACACATAGATGGATTAGACTACATGATCAGCAGCATAGTCGAGAAAAATACCAAAATCACCAACAGAACCTTCTACGGAAGACAACCGGGAGATCACTCTTCACCGGTACCAGAATAGAGCGAGATGACACGGCAACTGCTGTGGTTATGAGGAAAATTGAAGTGTCGCAGATCAGCGTTGTGGAAAAGTGAAAAGTAGTCGATGAGAGGCCGCAGAAGTCAAGTGGAACCTGCCTAGCACAGAGAGTGAGTAAAAAACATGAAAGATGAGCAGAAGAGCAAAATGGCTCGCCTCACGAAACTGTTTCTCAGTTGAAAGTCAATGCTGTTGCAACGCGGCCCGAGGCTGTCCTACTTAAACAGTTCTGGCAGGAGCGGCTTTCGACTGTAAAGGGAAAACATGATCCGATCGATCACAATTGCAGGAGTTCTCGATTGAGGTTCGTCTGGAAAGCCTAGAGTTTGCACAGTCTACCCTCAGCAGGTTATCGGGCAGAACGGACGGCACGCAGTAGGACGCCTAGGCCTCCTGCGGGAACTGGTAGCCATGCTCATCGGACCAGCGTGTCGAGGAAGTGTGAGATAGAAATTATTAGTGACAATGTTGGAAGCGTTACGATTGAAGTCTTGGGAGGTCGATCCGCATTGACCTGCAATGACAATACATCGAAACACGGCGAGCCAAGTTCCGGGTACCGTGAGACGGACACATCTTCACATTTCCGGGTCCTGCCATTTGGTACTGCTGTGGAAGGGTCGGCTGCAGCGGGCAACATGCTGGCTCACAAGGGGATGACACAGAAGCCTCGACCTGACATACTTGTGCACTTACGAGCACGTGTCATCCGCCTCTAGCCACTTTCAGGAGCTCATGTACAGACCTGGTTAGTAGGAAAGCATCCCTGCCCAGCATATGAGATGAAAAAATTGTTGACCACGCGGCAGGGGCCACGCGGAGCCGGCATGACGAAGGCCAGCGAGGGCTCATTGGGTCGGACATCTGAGAACGAGGTATTAGCGTCGACTCACCCCGCAAGAGCTACTCTGTGGTGCTGTAGAAGTGGCGACCGGCCACACGTGAGAATTGGGAAAGGGAGCGCCCACATGGGTGCAGCACACATCCTTGCAGCGCTGTTGACGACGGGATGGCTACATTGCAGAACAAATCCAGTGAGGCCGGCACAAGTCATGAGAGAGGAGCTTTACCCTCACTGCGACTCTCCTCACGGAATCAGACCTCGGTAGACCATTTGCTTGCAACCCACTGTCCGCAGCACGTGCACGACGACGTCTGGCAGCATTCCCGAAGGTCTGCTGACCAGGGAATCTCGACAACGGGCTTGTTCGTTTCTCTGGACGAGAGTCAGCTGAAGAGATACTTCTAGTATCATCCATCGTAGTATCTGCAACAGAGAAAATCTAAACTACCACAGCGGAACAGTACCAACCATTTCCCATACTCATACGAGGTCCGATGCAACCAGTTCTCTGAGGTTCGATGTCGGCGCGCCCTTCAATAGGGGCCAATGCTGGTAGACGCGAGTTCACCCTTGTGGGTGTACCACTAACCGAGCATGTCTCAGGGCTCAGAGGGTCGCCCTGCTCAACCGTTGTGGACTGCGAAAGCTCTGGTGTAGTCAAGTCCTGAAGAACCAAAGGCGCATCTCACAGTCATCAAGCACCTAACTCACTTAGGCAGAGATAACCTTGATCGAGTCCATGCCGGATGACTCATCGACACCCGAGAGTGCGAGCTGAAGACTCTCAGGATACCACAGGTTGGGGATTCTGTCGCCGATCTGACGAAAAAATTCACGAGGTACATAAGGAACTGTCTCCTCACACAGCCGTAGTCTTGATCGGATAGTGCGGTCTCCCCAAAGTGTAGCTTCTCGTTGAGATCAGTAACAGTGAAGGTTGAGGACATCCGAGAGCACGAGGAAGCGCTGATATCACCAAGGAATTTGAGGCGATCCTCGACACTAAAAACTGTTGACAATTACACAACGTGAACGATGCATCATCAGTCATCGACCCGACCAGACTGAGTCGGCGCCAAACTTCGACTGTCAGAAGCTAGAAATTGCAAGTGACCGGTCGTACCATCAAAGCTAACACAACTGAGTGAGCGAGCAGCAGAGTATCATAATAGCGATCAGTCGTTTTTCGACCATAGCTTAGAACGAAAGCTCAATTCGTATATCGTCAGCGCGTATAACAAGATACAGTGAGAGGAGAGGGCTACCTGACACTACGTAGAATAACTCTCACGGCTCACTAAAATACACCTCAAGAATAACATGACCCAACGGCAGAGGGCGCGAGCAACGACGGTCATCCACCACCAGAAGGCAGCTTCGGTCCACCATAAAAACGCAGCTACAATATCACGACCAACTATCTAGACTACTGCAAACTGATACAATTACCATTCTCACGGAATCACCCTCGGATAGAGCTTCTGCAGAACGCTCTATCAACTGTGATAGCCAATATCACAGCAGGAGCTATAATAGTCACGGGGAGATGGTGGAAACGGAAAAGAGATGACAATACGAGAAAGTCAACAACAGAGGACTGGAGAGGGGCTATCCAGAATAGCTTTAAGAGCTTCTTGACAATGGGAACGACGGTGAGAAGATACTCGAGGTAATGCCACACATACAAAGAATGAGCCTAATCACAAACCACGCATCTGCTGATAGCTTGGCAGTCCGTCGAGAATGCTACTTGGCTACCTTTTTGATCAGGTCATCGCCATGAGGGAAGAACCCACTATTGTCGAAAAGTATGAAGGGTAGAATATGCTGACGGCGGCGTGAACACCTGGCCACACGGGGCCCGATGGGGAGGGAGACTTACACATTAGTTCGACTTACCGCATGCTCTCGAGGAGCCAACGTTTGGACATGTGATTGGTTTTCAAACTGACTTTGCCATGGCACGGTGGCGCGAGCGAATTTCACTGGTCTCCCGTTGACGAGGAAGATCGGTCTCAACCTGCGCGACCAACAATTACGGTAAACTGCCATAATGAACTAGCACGAGCGGTTGCAGACCTGCACCTTAGAGTAGGCGTTTGACGTACTCTGGATTATTCTCAGTAGACACGACCTTCTTGCTGTAATGGCTGAGGTTCTCATAGAAGCCCTGTATAGCAGCAGGGACGATCTCGACCACCTTCCTTGATCCGAAGTTGCCCAACACTCGGCCCTGAAGACAACTTCAAATAATCAAATGCGATGCAGCCAAACTCACAGCATAGAAGTTGGAAAAACAATTGGCATCTTGAACGTCGGTGAAGTTGATGAAGCAATAACCAGCATTAGCCATGGAAGCACGATCTGACAAACGCGCGGTAGTCCGACAACAACATTTCTCCCTCACCGATTGGCAGATAGAAGAAATCGAACTTGCCCGCAAACCCCGAGGAAGAAATTTCTTGGATCAGCTCTCCTTGAGTGTAGCGATTCGGAATGTTCCTAAGAATAGCACTTTGACAAGAATATGTCCAACCATCATCGTTTCGCACCTCATCATTAGAGAAGTGACACTCGCCTGTGGAGAGCGGAAAGCCTTAGCTGTAGCATGAGACTGATGCGCAGCCAGTTCGTAATGAGGTCCCCGCCGTGGAACACTCACCGGCGGAGCAGTCTTCCCCTCAATGAAGCTGTGATCAGCTAGCCTGGGGTGTCTTCCTTCGTCATGCTCCAAGTGCTTGGCCGTTCCCCTTGGATTAGCTGAGCACTTCCCGTAACAGGCTGAAGGATGACTCCACATCGATCTACTGTGGGCCGATATAAAACACATCACCATTTTGCTTCTGACGGGCGGCATTGTTACGTCGAGGTCTACAACGGCGTCTGCCACTGCTCCGAGTCGGAATGTCGTACCTCTCTGGCAATCTCTCCCGGCCAGAGGCCTTCAGGGTCACCTGATAAACTGAGCTGAGTATGCAACGCTCTTTATCGGCAGCCGTGGTACATCGACAAGAATGCGGTTTATCAGGGCTTCCAGCTCTCCAGCATCATGAGCACATTGCTGCTTCGCTTGTGGCATCAATAGCGGCTGCTGAGGTATGGTATCCCACAGCCCAGTATCCATAGGGGACAACACCGGACTCTGTTGTGAAGACACTGTCGAGTTCTCCGAGATATCATCCAACTGACAGGACAGAGCTCCTCTGGAGTGAGCTGAGGACAACTACCAGAGTGTCGACCCAAGGTAGGGACATCTCAGAGCTTTGAAAGTCGACAGGGAATGGAGGCGGCTGCATGAACAATCGGCAATCCTATGAGCCTCCCATTGAGAGTCGCACAGCAGTATTCACCGGACGACTGAACGCTAGAGACACTCGAAGAAAACCTCGCCAATCACTTGCAAACCAAAACCAGATGTCACTAATGCAGCAAGGTGAGGAAGACAAACTACTTGTGATAGCGATGAGACTGCAACATATCAAACAGTATCATGATACTCGAGACGAATTATGAAGCCCACTTCTGAGAAGAGTACGAGACACCCATCCACCAACACCGCCGGAAGAACTTCTATGAGAATAGGAGTATGTGGCGGACGGCATATAGCACCTTAACGACTAGGAAACTACCGCGCAGCAGCAAGATGCTGGGACATTCGACCACTACAATGCATTGACAGCGCGGTCACCATAATAACTAGGACGGCGCAATCGCAATAGGGAAAAAGGAAATGTGGTGATATTCTCATAGCGCAATGACCGCTCGTCAATGTAAATATAACATCAACCGACACATCGCTGAACAGCACGAACACGAGTAGTAAACGAGCAGTAGCAGCAGCAGTATGAGCAGTGAAATCCTCGCCGTAGTAATATAATAGGGGAATTGCACTACAACACAGGCAGGTGGATTCAATGGTGAGAATAAATAGTCGGATACAATAACCTGAGGCCATGACGAGAGTATGAAAACCAGAACAACACGCCAACTGGGTAAACGGACAGCGAATGTTTCCCTAATTCACCTCAATATGATACTTTTCTACCTACTCTACTACGGGCTTGAGGTCGGGCCAGCATCAGCGGAAGAAGCTGCCCTGTTAACTGAGATTATACACGAACTGCCTTAAGTATATAGACATTGGTCTCACCGATAGTCGACGGATGATCACCGTCTAGGAATATTGGAAAGTCGGGAGATTGGATCGAGGGAGGATCGTCTGAGGCCTCGTTAGAGTTCTTCATCCAGCGGAACCTCTCCTGGCCATCATTGAACCCAAAAGGAGCGTAACGCTCCCCCATCAGTCTCTCCTCGCCTGAACTACACAAAGCGGGCTCGCCGAATCTCTCATGTTTATCATCGACTCACATTGGATTATCTCCAGTACAGTGGCAGGCGTTCTTGAGAAGAGTCCCGATATTGGAGGCAAGACCGACTCGATTCTCCTTGTCGCTCCTCTCAGGGCTTGAACACGCAGAACGCTGTCTGGACCTACCAGAAGATGCCACTCATGGCACGGAGACCTCTTACGAATGCCTCCCCATTTCTCTCGGTTTTTGTAATGGAACGCGAGTGAAAGATAGTCGATAGCCATCAACCAGGAACAGTGGGCGGAACCTGACAGGGAATTATGTGACTACAAAAAACAATCGCTCTGCTAGTAATTCAAGTCATTAATCGGCCTCACTCTTCCTTCGAGTCAGTGGAGACGGCCTTCTTGCTGTAGTGCAATAAATTGGCATCGAAACCTTGCAGCTTAGCGGGCACAATTTCTACGATTTTCTTCGACGTTGACATGTTCAACTGCTTCCCCTGAAGGATTCAACCTCCATCACATTGCCTCCGGCGGCATCTCCTCACGCTGAAAAGGTGTGTGAACAGTGAAGCCACTTCTGGCGTTGTAAAGTTGATGAAGCAGTAGCCGAAATTAGCTCTAGTGCTGTGATCTGAAGCGGCACAATATGGGCCACTACGGAGGAGAGCAGGAATTTACCCATGGGGAGGTAGAAAAAGTCAAATGTCCCACCAAATCCGGTGAAAGTTACCTCGGCGATCAGCTCGGCCTGCGTATACCGATTTGGGATGTGTCTGGAATGGACAGATAGTCAAGCATAGTCATTTCGAGCAACATTCACCTCATCATCACAGTCGTTATTCCTTCATGAGAGCCGACCTCGCGAGATGCCTGAAATAACAAAGAGTGGGCATCTGGGCCAAATGATCTGCCGAGCATTCGTATCTTTGGAAGATAAGAGGCATCACTCAACTGGAGTGACATCACCCAGTTCGCCTTTCTTCCATCTGGTGATGCTCTCGGGTTCTCCGCCTGCGAATGGAACTTGCTCGTCGGAGCCGCTCCCCTGGGGTGGGGCAATGCAGTCAAAGCAAGAGAACGCGGTCCACGATCGCTGTGTTGTACGATGCAGCTCCGAGTGCGCTGATCACATGCACACCATGGTCCGGGATCTACCGAGGGCGCCGCAGCTAAGAGCAAGAACGGATACTGCTCATCGCGGGAAACACTCACACCACTGTGTATCCTCCTCGAAGAGACCGATCTCCCTCTGGGATCACTGGGGAGTCGACCTCGACTGTACCATGCGAATCAGTGAGACGATAGGCGGTGAAGATGTAGGATGGGCTTTACCTGGACGACGGCCTGCAGCAGCAAACCTCGCCTGCCGGTTGCTGAGGCTGTCGCGCCCTTCCACCATGAGCGTCATGACAAGGCCTCATCGACGCCGCGTAAGCCACCTGCCATTCCACACTGCCTCATCATCCGGTACCCTTACATGAGATCCACCAAGGACTGCAGCACGCGAAGGGAGGTGTAGATATCTTGGAAGTCCACCTGATGAGACGCAGATGAGAGTCATTCACCTGCTGGGAGGAACGAAGGAATTCCGTCGCGAATAAAAACGATCAAGACCACTCCGAACAAACGATCTAAGCCTAGCATGCACTTACACGTCCGCAGGAGTCACATACTGGTGGCAGATGAGTCAGAACGGACGAGTCGTCGGGACCGTCGTTGCTGTCGAAGCAATGATGAGGCACAGCAGAGTGGGACATTCAATCACGCAGTAGACGTATGAATCCACCTCCCACTGGGGCAATGGCTGGTCGAGCACTGATCGAGGAACGCTGACTGAACGATCTGCAGTGATGAACCCAAAGTCGCAGATCGTCATGAGAAAGAAGCAGCAGCACGAGAATGATCTATAGTCATGCGTATCTACGGAAGAGTGGAAAACGAGGTGGAATAATCAGGTAGGGCAGGGAGAAACCTGGGAACAGATTCCCGCAGATGAAGGAGCGAAATGAGCTCCTATGAGGACCCATGCCAGAGCGCATACGGCCGGTGATCGATGTTGACCACGAAGAACAGAGAGACGGCATTACCAACCGAGCTTGGAAGGAAGTTGTATGTGGAAAATACATTAGTGACGAGTTAGGCAGGAGAATTGACTGACTGCAGTCGATGTCTGATGATGGATACCTGCACGGGAGATTGAACAGCTCATGCTAAACTAGTCCATCTGCGGGGACCAGTCTGACTTGGGCTTACATTGATAGCGCAGATTCGAGTATCAACACTGACAAAAATGATGATGCTGAATGATAACGCGAGATTGACTGCATGGGGAACCGTCCAAGTATCTAAGGAACTCTTGGACAGGCCACTCCAGTGCCTGGCCTCAGAGGCTGACCATCAAGGAAAAATACTGGTTGGTACCTGCGATCGGGCTATGATAGATTCAGCAGACGGACTCACTCCTCATCCAGATTCCTGAAGGCTTCGTTGCCCAGGTAATGACGGAGATTCTCCTCGAAACCCTGCAGCACCGCAGGGCTCACCTCGATTTCCCACCGTGTAGCAAGTCGAAGGGACCGTCTCCCCTACCACCAAATAAGGTCGGTCCGTTATGACCTCAAAACGATCAGCGAACACCCTGTGCTACTCACATCGAAAGCTGCCGCAAACCTCTCCATCACGGAGAAGTCGGAGAGATTGATAAAACAATAGCCATGATTGCAATTCCTCTTGTGGTCTGTTGACAAATGAAATTCATAACGGACCAATGTAGACATTTCAAACTTACCAAAAGGCAGATAGAAGAAGTCGAATTCGCCTCCGAAGCCATACTCAATTATCTCCTGCATCAGAGTAGACGGTGTGTAGCGAACAGGTACGTTCCTGAGCAGAATTACATCATGAATAACGGGGCTAGTCGAACACACCTCATGACTACGGTGGTGATATCCGGCACCTCCGGTGGAGCCTCAAACCCCACGCCAGCAGTTCCACAGCCTCCGCAGCAGCACTCATCGTCTCGGGCCTGGTATAATGCTTCAGCGAGGACACTCGCGTGGTTGGGGACCGGGCTATCCAGTGTCATGGGGGCATCCAAATCTACTGACAACTAGTTTTATATGATGGCGATACAAAGCTCAGATGAATCATCGCTCATACGTGGCGTCGACAGATGCTCACTTGATGCTGACATGCTCGAAATAGGCACACTGACCAGATACGCTGGAATGCCTGCAGCAACAATATCGAATCTCGTAGCGTTACCTATACCCCACCAGCTTGCGATGATTCCTCCTGAGCACCTTGTTCCAAGATCGTCTGAAGTAAAGTATCGATCACGTCGAAACCCTACGAGGCGTATTAAAGGACCGAATTCGGCATAGTTATCCAAGTCCCGGCCCAGGAGAAGCCATCGGCGGACTCGGCCACTGCGCCATCTTGTGGCGACCGAACGGTGACCGAAGACCATGGTGGAAGAGCGAAGTCACCCAAGGTAGGTACATGAATCGACGACCCACCATCAGGCATGCTCGAGACTTCCGCAGACACAACATAGGGCAATATCGTTTCCGAACCTGAGGAACATCTGTCTGACCTGCGAGACGGTACTCGTGATGTGCTCACCCGTCTGGTGACCACAAGAGCTGCCTTCATCTACACGAGCTCGCTCCGCTCTAGGGTCCTCGGTCAAACCTGACAACTAATAAGCGGAACGCGATGTTCAGCGTCATGGCAAATACTGCTTTCAGAGCTATCACCAACCAGACGCCGTTCGCGATGATCCGGACGAGCCCCGGGGACAGGCTGGCGACCAACCGGAGTGGGAAACATACAACAAAAGACTTACAACAGCTTGAATGGCGGGTGAAGTGCATGGGAGCTCATTGATATTGGCACAACATCGCAGAGACCACAAAAATAATCACTTGTGATGGGGTGAAACACGCCGTCGAGCAGCGCAAGAGAAAATTTCACCGACATAGCTCGGATGGTGATGGCTGGCTTGCCCATGCTACTACAGTGTATTGACTAAATACACACCAGAATAGGAGTCCGCGGTCCTCCTGTCTACCAATGGAAAACTCGCGGTTTGTGCCTACTGATGCACCAGCCTCGTAGGAGTACAGAGACGAACACAGAGGTGCGGCAGGGGGCACCCAAGATCAGATAAGGAGTGAGCAAAATCGTTATGAATGAAAGAGATATGTTATGGAAAAACAGGAGTCAGTATTCTACAACTGACGGATAATCAAAAGGTGAAGCAGGGAGTTCAGGAGGAAAAGACCGAGTCTACGAGTGACTCTCTACTGAGCAAAATTCACTATCACAATCCACTACAAGACGAATATGACATACCACGAGATCTCCTCAACCCACCATCGCTCTTAGTGCGGCGATGGCGGTGATGAACAACGGGAGAATGATCATCGTTTGGCAACGATGACGTTGGCGAGATCACCCCCGTCGGGCGGAAGGCCGGCGGTCCTTTTTCTTTCTTATAAGAGGCTTTCCTGACACATCATACGTTACATACCATCAATCGAACACTTCGCACATACCAATCACTGTCATCTCCAGCTCGAGTCTCTTCTGAGCTAGAGTCCCCAGCCATGACGAAAGCAATGTGGTTCGTGTTGCCATGCCGAGTAGACCCGCAGCCGCCGCTCGCCACTACTCGACTTTCTCCACTACTTTTGCGCACAAACTCTACCGCAGCGCCGTGAAGCCAGAACAGAGGACGGAACCTATTGAAGCGATGGAGAGACGAACATAATAAGTCTGGCAAACCCGTAACTCACTGAATCTCTACGTCAGTGCAAACAGCCTTCCGAGAATAGTGTTTCAGATTCGCCTCGAAGCCCTGTATCGCTGCAGGGACGATGGCCACGATTTTGTTAGAAGTGAAGCGTCGAAGTGGCTTACCCTGAGTCAACCATTGCTATCAATTATTCTGATACAATCAGAAAGTCATCGACTCACATCGAAGGCTTTAAAGAAGTTAGAAGCCTGCTGAGGGCTAACCAGGTTGATGAAGCAGTAGCCAAAGTTAGCCCGAGTCTCGTGATCTGGAATGCTCACAGAGTCCATGAGACATTGTCGCGAACAAGCACAGGTCTACCCATCGGTAAGTAGAAAAAATCGAACAAATCAGCGAAGCCTGCCGCGTTGATGTCGCCGAGTAACTCCTCCTGGACGTACCGGTTCGGAATGTTCCTGGATAGATTCAAGCCCTGCGATGTGAGGCGACCATCTCACCTCATCATCAGTGTTGTCGGCAGTTTGAGCAAACGTTCCGAGAGAGCGCATACGCAAGGTGAGGGGTGTCCGTGCCGCTCAACCGCTCGCTGACGAACTTGATGGACCTGGCCCAGCCATTCCAAGACGCGTACTAGAGCCCATTGCCTACCATGTGGGCATTACAGCCAGATGACGATGTGCTGCCGTACCCAGCGTGATGGAGATGCGAACCACGGCTCACCCGCTGTGGTCCGTCACGGTGGTTCGGAGGTAGATTGGGCTCGACTACGCTGATGTAAAAGTTGTTGCACATAGTTGACGATGAATCTGACAACCGGACTCAAGTCCACGCGCTTCTCTCCATCGATAAGCACCTTGAGGCGCGATACCAAACGACTGTGGTGGGACCGGTCCAGCCGCCCAATGGTTGGGAAGATAGGCCTGCTGATGATGACCTCAAAATGAAACCACATAGCCCGACGGCCTCCAGGGACTACATCCCACCTGTAGGGCAATTCCCACCGAAGTCGATGGCAGGCCTGCCATATTGAGAAGACGATGGAGTACCTCGGAAGGGAATCTCGTCACTGTAGTATAGTAGGAACACTGCTTACACTGAGCACATGAGAAAACTTGTGTGCTAGTCTGAGATGGCGGGCCGTGGTAGCCCGTAACAGCCCCAGGCTGAAAAGAAGGGCTAGGCCGCCAACCTGAGCTTCACTCCTCACCATATGGGCTTGAACAATATGGGGCGGCTGGCATGCATTTAGCGGCAGCCATGGTTGCGGTGAGTGCCTTGTCCAAGGTCCGACAGGTCCGAGAGAGCTCTCTGAATGTTGCCGAGTCCCCTCTGCTCGGTTACAGAGGTACCGCAGAGCCTCATGTTGGGCCTCATAGACGTCTTCAGCACATCTATCTCGACGGCTTTGAGCGCGTGCCTGACCACTCCAGCTTACCAGACAATCGAGCAGACGCAACAGCAACGACCTACTCCGGGAGGGCTGGGGAGGAGGGAAGTCCTCGACGTGTCACGGATGGCAGGCCCTCTACGGTCCATAGTCTCTCCACGTAAACTGCGTACAAGGCAAGCTCAGTCTAGGAGCAAGATCAGACTAGTACACACAGCTCTAAAGCTAGAGGTGCAGCCATGCATCAAGCCTTTAATTAACAATTTACAACTCAAAAACGGGTACATTCAACTTGACAATAAGCTTTGACCCGGACAACCCTAGTCCCTCCCTCGAGGCCTTTCAGTCAGAGAAATGAATCTAGACTGATCTCCATCTCCACGTTGCAGGAGAGAAGACCCTAAAATCCGACGAGTCGAGCAGAGAGGCTTTCAGTAACCGTGCCGCCAAGGCGCAAGTGTATGATGTCTTTCTTCAAATCCAACTTCTTCTCGGTCACGGAAAGTCGTCGCTCATCCTCATCCCTGATCAGCTCGTCAAGCCTGAGCAAGAATCTGCCTCATACGAGACACCACACAGCCAGTCTGAGGACCTACACTTACCCGATGATGACCGCACTAGATGCTCCCAACAGTACGCATTCCTGGTGAGCTACAGGCTTGTCCAACGCAAAACAGCACTACATACCCTACGACAAGAGCCTACACGTGGAACCGTATATCTCAAGCGACTATGAGTCGACTCCTACGTCAACCTACAGTCCTACACCGATGAGAAAGCGAATGAGTCTCACGGACCCACTCCGTGACCTGACCAACGCCGCACTGTCTCCGCGCATCGCCGATGATGAAGGGATGATCGGACCAATTCTGTGGATGACAGGTCGTAGTGTATGACAACGTAGCCTCTAAGATCCACAACAAACGGTGGAATAAGTCTACTAGAATGTCAAGTGCGTTTTGAGGTGATATCATGAGAAGAATCTTTCATAGAGCGTGGACGTATTTGCCAGCGCGTCTCGATAGGAATCTTTCAAAACGGTTTGACAGGATGCACGATTGGAGTAAGCGATTCTCTAGGGCCCATTTCACAAGGACTTCTGACCTAAGGCGTCTTTAAATGTACCTTACGTTTAGGTGGACCTAGTTAGGTGCCTTGCTGATTTCATATCAAATGCGCCTTGCCATTGTGAAAGAGCCTACCCGCTATTAGGTGCAAAAATCGCCTAGCGCCTTACGATTTTCGTGCCTAACCGAGGCTTGTGAAATGGGCCCCTGAAGTGTTCAAATCCTCCTCACTCCACCTACCGAGAGTCTGTCCGAGGTCCGCTACCCCCGATCAATTTTTGTGTCGATTCCGAAGTTCATGCGTCTCGGGCCCACCAACAAACTGGCCTCTTTTATCGTTCCAGACCGTATGCATTAGTTCCGCTCAGTGGCTCCTTCTCTCTGATCATCATCCACTGGGTAGCAGCAAGAGATGTTCTAGGGGAGTTCAGCGCTGGACTTGTGAGGACTATGAACATACTTATCATGCATGCAACTCACCCTCTTGTGGTGCAGTATAATCCCAATATGCTTTCACCTCCCTGTCATCCTTATTGTACTCTATGCAGGTTGGAACGAGCTCCAACCTATTGTCTCGGCTGATTACTTTCCACGATGGCGAGCGGCTCTCCATCGTCCCGCGTGAGGGGTACACCTGTATAGCTGCGATCCGGAAGGGACCTCATCAGAACCGAGACGGGTTTCCCTCAACCAAAAAATTCCATTAGTTGACTCGAAACTCTGTCAAAACGGGTCTCCATTCAGTTAGTTCGCAACTCCGTCAATTCTACGTCACTCGGCCGAAATGGTAATGCATCACTACTAGCGAGTATTCACGAGATCTCCCAGCAGAGGCATATGGACGTGGTGTGTTGCCCATACCAGTAAAATTGTCACAGCAAATGGAGCCCAATCGGTGACACGATCCTCTCTTAGGAGTAATAATCAGTCCTTTCCCCTAAGACCAAGTCCTCCAGATTGAGCGACGCCCTTCGGTTCCCCTTGCCATAACCGACTGAATGTGCAAGCTTCCAGAGAGATCTCGCAGGTGATCAACATGTCTACTGTTCAGAGTTTCGGTCGGGGCACTGGTTGACTCAAAAGCCGTAAGATGAATGACCAGAAAATGATTTTGTTAAATACTCACTATTGCATGCTAGTGTTTCATACATTTCCGAGCTATTTCATGACGAGCTTCTCGTGGCCGTTTCAATAAAGGAACGCTGGACTGGGAACTGTGTCCGTGCAACAGCACGCACAGCTACCTTGTAATGTCAGCCAGAGCGGCTCACCCTCAACGTGCCTCCGCCTAACAAATGGGAGATACTCATCGGGCCCATCCATTTCAACTACTCAGAACTCAACATATCTCAACAAAGCCAGACAACATGTATTCGATTAACCGGTAAGAGCGCATGACCATTGGTCACACTGAATCATGGATTCAGAATCAATCACTATCGTCTTCATCTTCCTCATCATTTTGTGACACTGAGCCGCCATTGCTTGCACTTCCCGAGCACAGTTGCTTTATGAACTTGCTGCTACGCTTGACGAAATCTGCAGGGTTCGGGCCATCCTTCATCCCAATTTTTGAGAATATACGTCTGACGCCAGTACGACAGTCGCCGACGTCTCCCTTCCCCGTTGTGACGCTACCCGTTACTTCTAGTGGGCTAAAGGCACAACATAAAAGAATGCAAACGATGATAACGGTACCTCGTTCCAGGAGTAGGACATGTTGATTTCTCCTTATCGACCTTGTAGACAAGCTCTCCGGATGAATGACCCTCCTGGAGCTGGAAATAGATACGACTTTCCTTGCCATAGAACTTCGACTTCACGAAGCAGCCACTCGGTTCGTCGGGATCGGGGAAAATCTGAGCGGTAGCAACTCCACCTCAACCCCTAGATGTCACTTCTCACCGCCAGTGACACAGGATTCCATCGGTGGCTCTGAGCCTTGGTGATCAGCTTCTTGATAGCCCTATGCTTCACCCGAACAGCTTCAGACGAGCCGAGTAGGAGCAAGATGTGAATGGGTTTGAACGATAGCATCATCAAAGGTGTAGGGTGCGGGGTGAATGAACGTAACTGATAAAACATGAGGGACCACGATGTGTTCCTTGCGGGGGCTTGGGCGCTATGTCCTCTCATAACATTCACTAGAAGAAATCTTCAGGACCTTTCGTTCTGCGATCATTGCAAGAAAATGGTGAACGAAAGTCGTTTCGCTCCGCTATGAGTATGCGCGCGCCATGAGAAATCAATATAACTTGCGCACTTGCGCAATCTTACAATTACTCAGTAAAATATCGTAATCGATCGCGCTAAACTTTTCTTGGCGAGGCGTGTGGTTCTCCATACTAGTACCAGCCACTTTTCCCAATGGCCCCTAAGAAAGCCCCTAAGACTGAGGAGCCCCTCCAACTTGGTCCCCAGGTCCGTGAGGGTGAGCTCGTGTTCGGTGTTGCCCACATCTACGCTTCCTTCAACGATACTTTCATCCACGTCACTGATGTGTCCGGTCGCGAGACCTTGGTCCGTGTCACTGGTGGTATGAAGGTGAAGGCCGATCGTGATGAGTCCTCTCCCTACGCTGCCATGCTTGCCGCTCAGGACGTCGCCGTCAGGTGCAAGGTAAGAAATCATTAACATTTTCGTTATCGCTTCAACTCGTTTGGAACTTGCATGTCGAATTGTCGTTTTCAGGAGCTCGGTGTCAACGCTCTTCACATCAAGCTGCGTGCCACAGGTGGTACCAAGACCAAGACCCCCGGCCCCGGTGCCCAGGCTGCCCTCCGTGCCCTCGCCCGTGCTGGTATGAAGATCGGCCGTATCGAGGATGTTACCCCCATCCCTACCGATTCCACCAGGAAGAAGTGCGGTCGCCGTGGTCGCAGGTTGTAAGCTGCTGACTTCTGCAGCTTGCTGCCTCTGTTGGTTCTGTTTGTATGGTTGTCGTTATAACGACTCTGGCCCGTTAGTTCTCACTGTGCAAGTGCTGTACTAGTCGCACGGGACGATTCGTTTATTACGGCTGGCTTTCTATTGGGAACCTGGAAAAAAGAGGTATAGTCTCATATGCTTTGTGTTGTCACTGTTGGCCGGATGGGATAAAGAATGATGATAGTAATAATTGTCTAAGGTCAGTACTTAATCAGTAACGATTCATTGGGATTGAGACTCGGTCACTGAGTGATGTCACATCTGATTCACGCGTAAGCAGTTGATGATTCTTTTGAACTGTTACCTCTGGAAATGAGAAAATCGGCCTATTCTGAACAACATTCGCTCATTTACTCTTTACCCCTTTCAAGTGACAGGCAACGTTGCAACCATTCAATGGTTTGAAGAATTAACATACATAAAGAAAGTTAATTGTTAACCTAAATTAAGTACCGATTCGCATCGGCAGCTCCCCTCCGCTAAGTCTTCTGTATATCACGGTATAATAGAGGTTAGAAGGGGTTCCCTCACCCTACCACTCGTGGGAGCAAGTACCGAAAAGGGCGGAGAATCCCCCCTACCGGTTCGACACTAGCAAGTGTGGTGGTGGAATATTAAACACAACAATCGTTCAGTACACAGCTCATCGTCGTCTACCAAATACAACACCTCGATGACCCTCGCGCCTTTCTATTCTGTCATCGTGGTGTGACGATCGACTTCGAGATCGTCGTCTACTACGAGGACTTTTCTTCCTCGGCGATTTAGTCAATGATTTTGATGATTTCTTCCCCCGATCACGGCCTGAACAGAAGTTCTCGTCAGATCGGAGGTAATACAATCGACCAGCCTGAAGCTCACCAGTCGCTGTATCGACATCCACTTCTTTTGCGTCCTTAGCCCAAGCAAGGAAGTCGCTTATGCCCGCCACACGATTGTTCTGAACCCTTTTCCGATCTTCAACGGTGGTATACTTCTTATAATGGTCTTCAAACCGACCACTCATAAACGATCGATACGGCCGGTGTTCTCCCCGACGATAAAACTGCTCCCTGGCACACACATGTGTTATCCTCGCATAAAGACAATCAACAATACCTTTTCTCTCCACTTGTACTCCGCAGTCTCTGATCGCCTTCTCTACTCGAGACTCTCGCTCTTAACCGAGGACTATCATGATCCTAAGCAGGGTTCTCTGCGGAAGTACAGGTGAGATGAGCATAATACCCTATTGCCAATGTCAGCAGTGGTGAGCTCACGAGACCGCCCACGCCGTCTTCGATGGCCGTCATCATCACTATCCTCATTATCACTCGGCAGGAGGTCTGCATAGTCCGGGGAGGATCGCCGTCTACTCGGCGATCCTTTACGCTGTCCCTAAAGTTACAACATCGATGAACTACTATGGAAGGTTCACTTTTCACGAACGTTCATACGGCGGTAAAATATTCTCATGAAACCAACCACTTAATGGGATCTTGCTGAGCTCTATACCATGACCCCAGTAGTACCACGATAGGGTTCGCTTGCTCTCCCGACTTCTTCCTGGGAGGATTGAGTAACTTCCAAGACGGTCGTCGGGGTCCTCTCCGCGACCGCTCTAGGGCGTAAATGTCCTCCTCGGTGACCAACTCATCGTAACCACTCAATGCCTCACGATTAACCTGAACATCACCAAGGTGTGCCCAGAACCAGCGTATGATGAGCGTTTCCATGATCAATCCGGTCCAAACTCATAAGTTATCTATGAGGAAGGTGTATTCCAGAGCCGGACTCCTTCCAGAGCCGGACTCCTTCCAGATTAACTCTGGTTTAACAAAATGACCAGGAAGGCACAAACACTCTATCAAACCACCAACTACATTTCCTCAGACCATAAGCAATCACAACCTCATTCAGTATTGTAACAAAACAACCCCCAAATTTACCTCCACTCGCGACGAAGGCTCTGCCTTATCCTTCACCGATGAATCAATGCATTCAGTAGCTTTCACCTCGGCATTCAGCTCCTTAGAGGGCTCCGACATAACATCAACTAAATAGGATTTGATGACAATACTAGAGAGCGTCACGACAGCAGCGACACTATCCTATCCGATTCCACCCAGGTCTTAAGACCCCGTACTTTCCCCTTCATACGACTAACTCAAACAAACAAAACTCGACTGTTGAAACGTGAGCGGAATATTTTGCGGTAGTAGCATTAGGATGGCCAGCTTGACAGAAGTAACGACATATAGATACATCTCGACACCTCTTAGAAAGAGTACAACTCCTCCTTCTGAAAAACACAACAAAAATCATCAACAATTCATCAGCTCGAGAGCCCCATAAACCACAAACGCTAAGAACCCCCATTACAGGTTTTCCTTGTTCGACCTCTCTGGTCTCAGTGAACGTAACAGTCTCTCTTGATGCAGCCAAGCGCTTGAAGCCCTACACGAAATGAATGTGAACCAGTAACAGAAAAATACGACGACGATCCTACCTCCTCCCAGTCGTCACAAGCCAACGATTTGCACATCTCCGTACGGTACTCTTTGAGATCCTTCAGCATAGACCTACACCACAGCACACTCTATGTCCATCTCCCTCCCACGTCTAAGGAGCCCACCTGAAGTCGTTCTGTATAGCCTTCTTATCGGCAACCGCAGCCGCACGCTGTTGACTAGCAAAGTCGCGATCACCAGCCTCGTATTGGGCACTATACTGCTTGTAGTCCTTCCTTATGCTCGCGACCTCCTTCTCAGACAACAGTTGTTTCGGGTGAGGCCTCCAGTCCGAGAACCACAAGCTCTCTTTCGGACACTTATACCTATACGTCAAAATCATCCTCATCGAACCACCCCTCCCATCTCTGCTACATAAGACGACCCTGGAAACTCCAGATGCAGAAACCGCTCTCCTGAGCATTCCTGTAACCCCGACCAGCTGCGCTCTCGAAGATGTTCTGAGTAACTGCTGTTAGGAGATATCTAATGTCGAAAGAATGCGAATACAATAAGGGAACTGCCGAAGAGCGTTCACCTCCCGCTAGGATCCCATGAGACATGATTAAGCATGAAGTGCTCATCAGTGTTGTGGATATCAACCTTATTCTCGGGCGTTAGACATCCAAAGACGATCTCACCGCTAGACTCGGACCACATGACCCAGTATCTAAGGAGCGTACAACCTAGCAATGGAGAGTTCATGGTCAAGGACACTGCTACCTTCCAAAGGTGTTCCACTTGAAAAGATGCATGTAGTTGGTCATTTTATACTCAGCAACCTTTTCAACAGTCGCAGGGGCTCCAATCATCGTACTAGTAGTCTTCACCTGACATCATACAACAGTCCTACACACTACTAGGTGACCCCGTTACCTCATAGAACCATATCTGAGGATCACGTCCTTCAGAGTTAGTGTTGATCACTGCGAGTCTATTTCCATGAGGTTCCCAATGAACCTGAATGAGAGAAAAGATCAGCCGCATACTACATCGGAAAACTCGACACTTACGGCCTTCACAGACCTATTCTTCAGCTCAATCTTCTCAGCAGGGCAGCCCTTCTCATTAAGACGGAAGATCTCCAACAGAGGGTTCCTACATATCACAACGCAGGTCCTATCTAACTCCGGGCTTTCCAAAGACCTTACCCAGTCTTGCCACTCTTAGACACACGTAGGACGTTAGTAGCCACATAGTCACCTTGGGGGTGCCAGAAGATGTCGGCAGGACGACTGTTGTCAATCTACAGTAATGAGTTCAGATGATGAAAATGCCAGATCAGCCAGTTTCCTCACCTGGAACGCATTCTTAGCAACGATTTCCTGGAAAGGACTCTTCTTCTTAGATTCGAGCAAGGCAAATCTAGCGGGAGAGTTAGCGCTCTCAGGGACCTGAACTCCCCACACATTCGGCTGCTAATCCCATGGACAACCTAGACTAACATACCCAGACGGCTAGGATATCCCGCTTAGCAGGGCACCATGAGATGGCCGTAATCCCGGGATACTTCAACACTTCCTTCATCTCCATTGAAGGTGTTTCATAGATCATCCTGAGAGAATAACCATGACCGGCCCCATTCGCCGAATCAACGACCTACACTCCGTTGTCCAACCTCTT